CAAATTTGTTCCAGTTGGTCTTATTTTTATTCTTCAAACCCATCAGGCTTTTTGCCACATCAAGGCCTTCATACATGCTGTTTCCTCTTATTGGAATACCCTTCCCCATTCTTCTAGACGAATACGCTACTCCTTGGCATTTCCATCTGATTAAACTGCATTTATAGACTGCATTTTATAGACCCTCCTTGGGTTTTTTTTCAAAGTTTATTGGTTTTCTTCTATAATACACTTTCTCAACAACCTCAGTGTTTCTCCTTTCTATCATTATACTTGTTAATACCATTAAACTCAGGACTCTGTCATACTTATCACTACATTTTCAGTGCATGGCATACTCAGCATACTCCTGGGTAGGTGCTGTTAAAAAATTATGCAAAAAAAATTACCATGTATCTTTTCAAAGTCATATTAGATCACTACCTAACAAGTTCACTGTATGCTCGAAAGGCAGGCATACTTGTCTGATATGCAATTGACTGCTTAGTAATGCCCAGATACTTCAAGTTTAGATACTGACTTATAGAAGATGGGCAAATAGCAAAATATTTATTTTATGACCAAGTTGCAAATGATTTCTACCCAGTAAATAAAAACACTCACAGTTATGGCTTTTGTGCCTTTGAGGACACTAATCACTTGTATATCCATCTCTGTGATTTTGCTCCAGCACTTCGATCTTTCAATGACCATCCATAATTTAGTCTCTTATAGCTTCCTTTTCACCAGCATCATCATCTGGCTGGTTCCCTCACTACTGAGCTAATGGATTTTTGACAGATGTTGACTATATATGTATGATAGTTGTTTTTAGCTTTTTGAAAATTATGTTTTGACAGAGCAACTTAATAGGAGGGCCACAAGTCTTTGATGACTCAACTGACCAACATCTTTAGAACAGACTCTGATGGGGCCTACGGGTGGGGAATTTTAACTGGAAGAAAGGAAGTGCTAGAAACATAGCCCTCCACTAGGGGAAGAGCAAGTCTCTTTCTGGAGAGAAGACAAATGCATACCTACATCTGAAAGACTGAAAAACAGTTTGAGAGCTTTAGATAGTAGAAGAAATAAACACAGATTCACAGTCACGCTGATATTTTCCCCACCAGAAAGCGACACCTAGTGTAGATCTTCAGCCTAGACATCCGTGTAGGTGCCAGCAGAACTGGCATAGGGAGATCCCTGTCTCATCCCTCTTTCAGAGAACATTATTAACCCTTGTTTCTCAGTCTTCTTTGAAGTTCATAGTGGCCATGTGATTGGGTTGCAGTCAGTGAAATTTGAGTGAAGGATGTGAGTCACCTCCAGACACGGCCCACAGAAACCTGGGAGCAACTCCCATGTGCCGGCAGAACGCAAAGGGCTCAGAGGACTTGGAGGTGGGTGTGGCCCTGACGTGGAAGAGGCTTAGTCTCTGCAAGACTGTGTGGAGCAATCTCCCTGCTGACTTACACTACAAATATACCTTCCGTGCATTAAGCGATGGAAATTTGGGGATTGTTTGAGGAGCGGTTAGCCTACCCTAGTTGTCAGAAGGCTCCACTCACATCCCCCTCTTTCAGAACTCCTCCCTAACCATTCCAGTCCACGGTGACCTTACAACTGATAGCACATGCCATCTGACTCATTGAACTTCATCATCTAGTGTTTAATCATGTACTTTTTTTGCATTATGATTTAAACTAAATATGACCCAAACTGGGTTCCATGGAACACTACCATTTTAGATAATATTGCTAGGTATTCCATTAAAAAGGAGTTCCATAGTAAAAAAAAAAAGTTTGAGAAACATTAGGTTGAACGAGTTTCATGTTTACAGGACTTTCTAAAGTCCCTAATGAGATCACGGGACTTGCATATGCTTAAAATGGGTCTCTAGCATATAGTGTTTCTCCCTTTGATCATGAGATGTTTTTTCACAGATTATAGCTTGGGAAACATGCATATGACCCTTTCACCTGTGTGTGTGTGTGTGTGTGTGTATGTGTGTGTGTGTATCTTATACCTTTCCAAGTCATGAGGAAGTGAATTTATTCTCTGATGCTCTGTGCTCAAAGCATGAAGCACAGCACACACAGGTTTATAACATCAGTGTCAAAACTTAGCCCGGGGAAGAGGCCGGTGGAAGTGAAGTCGGCTGGGGGGTAGCCTATGAGTTGGGCCTCAGGAAACGAATAGAGATTTGCCAGCAGGGCAAGAGCCAGGATAAGGAAAGGGATCCCAGCTGAAAGAGACACATGGACAGGACCACGGGCTCTGGGGACGGTCAGAGAGTCAGTTCGAGAATGAACTTGGGTTCTGTCTACAAAGTTTACAGTTGTATCCCCATCACCTCTGGCACCCCTTTGGGAAGAGTGGACACTGCACACCCCTTCTCCCTCCACACCACAACTGGAGGTCCCTGGAGGTCACGTGTTGTTAATCATTTCAGCACTCTTTCCTTTACATAGCCTGGGGAGCGGCTCACACACATGTGAGGCCATGCCGCCCTCTCTGTCTGAGATTTCTCTGAAAATTAGAAAGCACAACCTCCCCAGGACGGCTGGTCATAGCACCTAAACTTTAAACATGCAGGGAAAGCATTTAGCACAGTGTCGGCATATAGTCCCTGCTCAAAAAATACTTGCTATGAATATCACTCACTCAGCAAATGCTCGAGGAAGGAAGGAAGGGGAGACACGGGCAACAAAGGAAAGACGGCCATATGTGTGGAGTGGAACGTAGCTCTTCTATTTCATTTTGCCACTTGGCTAACGCAGAAAAGCAGATGCCCTTTACCCTCTGGGGCAGTAACACTCCTTCTTTGGCCACATTCCTCAGAGCGGCCGTTTTGGAGGCCTTGAAGTGAGATATTGGGTCAAACGTCAGTGCACACTGCCAACGGCAGGGGAGCGTACTGCGAGCCCAGGCCAGCGTGGGACCTGAGGGGTTGTGGGGAAGCACTCTGGAGGTTTTCTCTGTTCTTGGCCCATCAGTCCCCAGGATCTGATGAAAAGCCACAAGAAGGAACAGAGAGAGCCTGGCCTCCTCATCGGGAGGACCGTGTACCAGACAAATTGTTTCCTTTTACAATAAAATTCATCACAGTGAGAGGCCAGGGAAACAAAGATGGGGGCTGAGTCTAAGGAGAAATGAATTCCAGAGAATTCTAAGACCAGCTTATCTGCCTGAGGAGACACAAAGATAAAGGGAGGGAAATATCCATGTCTATGACCTCTTCCCTCTTTCCTGGCCACACTCATTCCCCCAAGTGAGCAGGAGTGTGGCCAGCAGGAGGGTCCTGGGTCACAGCGGGAGGTCTGGAGGCTGGTAAGAGGAGAAAACAACCTGATGGGCTGACGCCATGGACTGGTCCAAGGTGGCCAGACAGCTCTTCCAGAAAAACAATATCTTTGCAGATGCTTTGCTCCCAAAGCCCACGGCCGATGACCTGTCAAAGGGGATCTAGAACCTCTCCTTGAGCAGGTCTGCCACCCCTGGGAGCCACAGAAGAAGGCTTCACCGTCCCCAGGAAGGTCAATGGGGATCAAAATCCTCCAACTTTGCTTGAGAGGGAGAAGGTATTTAAGTATATATATCAGGAGATTGGACTACAAGTTTCACAAGTAAGAATCAAAGGAGCTATGGAGAGCCATATCACATCAAGATACACAGGCAAGAAAGTTATTGTCATAGGGAAAGACTAGAAACTTCCTAAATGCTTGCCATTGGGGGCTGCTTAGTAAGTTACGGCAAGGCATAAAAAACTACACACATAATAATTTTATGATATATAATTCAATAACACATATTAATTTCTAAATAATAGGAAGAGATGGGGAAAGAGATGTGGAGAAAAGAAAGGGGGCACTCCAAAATTAACATGGATTATTTCAGGGCAGTGTGACAATAGAAGATCATTTCTTTCAATTTTGAAGTGTGGGTGTCAGGAGGGAATTTGCCTCTGTTTCTAAACTAGTTCATCATCTTTGGCACCCTGAGCACTGGATTAGGAATCTTAAAACCCAAAGCTGAGCATGGGACCTTAGAAAAGTCATTTACTCTCACTGGGTCTCAATGCAGCATCTATTGTAAAATGGGAATATCTGCTTTGCTTCCTGCAAAGAGCTTTGTGAAGTGCAAGTTCACAATTTACTGAACTGTAAAGATCCACAGAGATGTAAGAAAACTGGTGAAATGCAGACACTCACTGAGTTACACTAAACCCCTGCAATGAAACAGATTCCAGGTCATTTGAAGATTAAGGAGCCATTTGCCTGGGCAGAGAGTAAGCGACAGCCATTCTGATGGTGGCACTTTTCACCTGTGGAGGATGTCAGAACTGGCCCTTGCCCTGAGTCCAGCCTGAGCTGCTCCCCACCCTAGAACCCTCCACCACACAAAAAAATGGTGACAAAGTCCCCCTACCATGGGCCTTTTCTCAGAAACCAGTAAAAGACCTGTTTCCCTGCCCACAGGACACAAGATGCACTCCGACTTCTTTGTCATTAGACCTTTTAAAATCAGACCCTCACACCTCATGCACCAGCCAGCCATTCTAAAATATTTGTATACTTTCAGGACTCTAAGCCATCACATATACTGTTCCCTCAGCATCTTCTACTCAGTTTTTAGGATCCAATTCCAATGTCGCCTCTCCTCACTGCCCTGCTGTACCTGGAAGAGTTGTTAGTGGTTTACTGTTTCCCAAACACCTGAAGTGACCCTCTTTAATTGTACAAAGGCAGAAAGATGATTTACCTCTGTGTGAACACAGTCTTAAATGCATACGTTATACTATTGGCAACAATAGTTTCTGGAGGCCCACCCATTTTTGCTCCAACAATCATAATGACCATGATGACAATGGTGGTGATGATGTATAAGATGACACCCTACAAATGTCTGTAGTATAAGCAGGCAAATGAAGACACATTGTTGGGAATCAGGGAGGGGAGCGGGGGCGGGGAAGAGTGGGCTGGAAGGATCTCATCAGAAGGGCCACAGACACGGGGACTCACGGGGTGGTCTGCATCCAGTTCCGCTCCATAGCTGAGGATCTGGTTGGCAAATCTGTCGAGCTCTTGGATGGTTCTTGGGAACCAGGGCACTGAAACACAGAGAAGACAACACCCTGAGCAGAAGATTGGCAGAACATGGCTGAAGGCCTCACCAAGTTCAGAAGCATGGGATCAGCCCCAATTGACAAACCAGTGAGGGGGCAAGTGGGGTCCCATATAAGCCCCAAATTACTATAATTCCAAAGTTGACTCCCATTTTGCTTAAAACTAGTTTTTTAAAATGTCAGCCTTGTTGAACTGTAACTGAAAAATAAAATTGTAAGATATTTAAAGTGTACACCATTATGATTTGACAGAGGCTAGGACATTTGGACTGTAAGGTTCATGAGGGCAGGAACCATGAGTGCACTGTAGTTCAAGTGCATGGAAGAGAGGGAGGCCATGATGGAGGGAGGGAGGGGGAGGGAGGGGGAAGGGAGGGAGGAAGGAGGCCTGCTTGTGCTAACCTGGGAGGCATTCACAACTGTCATCCACGGAGGATCAGCTCAGATCCAGTTGCTGTTTCTGAAGTATCTCCAAAATAAGGAAGGCATCATGGTCCCTAATGTACAGACTGTGCAGCCCTGAAAGTCTAAATAACTAGTTGAAGACCGCACAGGAAGTAAGAGACAGAAAAACAGAGCCAAAGATGACATGGGAGGCAGGGAGAGCTGTGAAGTGAAGCCCAGGCATCCAGTGCTTCCCCTGAAATGAGGTTCAGAGGAAAGATGCTGAACTTGTAGTCAGTAAGGCCTGGCTTGGAATTCAGGCTCCATCTACCTACCTTGCCTCTCTGTGCTCCAGTCCTAACTACAGAAATGGCAATAACAGCAACAATAATAGGAAGAATAGCAGATGTTTTTTGAGGCCTTACCATGTGGCAGTCACTGCGCTTACCATTTTGGTTTAATATCTCTTTTAACCTGAGTGTTACAGTGAGGAGTCAATAAGAATGTAGGCAAAAGGCTGGCCCAGTGTCTAGCCCATAAAAGTTAGCTTTTCCATCTCTGGCACCTTTCCGATTCGCCCCGCTCAGGTTGGGTGGGAAAGGACATGCATGCCATCTAGTGGACAGCCTGGGGAAATGCCACCCATGATTTGTATATAGAAGCCTCAGGTAAGAATTCCACCAAAAACAAGAGCTTCCTTCAACAGCATCAATAAAGGTCCAGTTAGAGCCTTGTTTCATGAGCTATGAGGTGCAAAGCTCTCTACTGCCTATGTGAGTGATATAAAAACTAGCACTGAGTGCCAGTCTAAGTATTTAACCTGTGAGGTTAGTACTATTGGTCTCTTTACAGTACACATGAGGAAACTGAGGTACAGACAGGTTAAGTGGAAAATCCAAATACCTAACTACCAGGAAACAGAGGAGTCAGGATTCAAACTCAAGCCTGGATGACTCGGTGGTTTCTGTCCTAACCGTGAATCCATCCTGTCTCTTTGGGGAGTTTAGACGAGCACATTGTTAGCTGGGCCCCAGAGCCTGACTGCCTGATTTTCTCTGAAGCTTCCTACCTGGACGTTTCCATGCCCCTGCAGCCCAGCCCACTGCTCAAGGCTGCTCTCTGTGGTAACAGGAACAAGAACAGACACTGCAGGAATATTCCAGTGAAGGCTTATGTAGCACTTGCTTGTGCTAGGCACTGTCCTAGACACGGGACATATACCAGGTCCTCACCTAATCTGCATAACAACCCCAAGAGGTAGGTGTGGTTATTATCCCCATTTTACAGATGAGGACATGGAGGAACAGGGAGGATAAGTCTCTTCATAGACCTTCTGGGTCCCAACGGCTGGACTTTGGAGTCTGGGATGGCTCGGTACCTTGCACGACTCACCCAGCATAGCACCTGGCTTCCCCTTTTGTCTCTGAACTTTTCTCCAGGCTTCCCTTTCTCCTTGAGTCCACTGCTTCCCTTTGTACAATGGACGTCTGTTGTTGGCACTGAAAAGGGGGTCTGTCCCTTACCCAGGTTTGGAAGGACTTGAGATAAGACATCCCATTGTAGTCAGCCGGGGCTCAGGACCCCTCGAGACCATTCCTGTTTCCCCAGAATGCTGCCACCCCATCACCTCTCTTCCAAGGCACGCTTTCCCGCCGCAGTCATTGTCTCTCTTGCCTGGGAGTCATCCATAGCTCCGGCAGGCACCGTTGCCCCCAGAGACAGGGCAAGCCAGTCCTGTCTGGCTCCCCCACTTTCTGACTCTGGGCACCCCTAACGTCATTGAAGTAGATTCTACAAACATGTATTCAGCACCTACCATCAGGCACTAGGCACTGAGGGAGTCTTCACCCCTGTGGTGTTTCCATTCTAGTGGGGATGGGTGACAAGAAAGAAACTATAAATAAATTTAAATAGATACCAATACCAGGAAGTTCTTGAACTAAGGAGATGGAGAGAGAGGGGGACACTAGCTCATATGTCACCCTGTGGCTCCAGACCCCAGAACGAGGGTCTGGGCAACTTCATGCTGCCTTGCCATTGCTCAAGAGGATCTGGGAGAGCCAGGGTCCGTCCTTAGTCCAGAGCTGGCTCCCTGTTTGTCTTAGGGAAAGTAGGTCTACAATCGTCAAGGGCCTCAGCAACAGAGTCAGACAGCTTAGGCTGGAATGTTGTCACTGTATTTACTATCTGTGACCCCCAGAACAAGTTACTAAACCTTTTTGTGCCTCAGTCTCCCTGTCTGTAAAATGGGGGTAATAGTAGCACTATAAAGTACTTCTTTATAGGAACAGTACGAGGTTGAATGAGCTAATATACGTGATTCACTGAGCACAGTACTGGCACATAGTAAATAGTATTACTGTTCACCTGCGAGCGCTCCAGGAAATGTTTAACTCTGCCCTTAGGTCAGAGAAGCACAGAGAGCAGAGTCAAAAGTCTTCCAGCAAGACTAGAAAGTCAGCTGCTTATTGTGTTGTGTAATTGGGCAGTATTTTATCTCTCAGAGTCTTAGTTTTCATTCCAGCATATGGATTAGAACCATCTTTCTATATTACTGCATTATCGCAGGAATTAAATGTGATCGCCAATGTGACACAGTGAGGGGTCCACAGTAAGTGCTTATGTGCATTAACCATTAGGGTGACAGAGATATTAATAATAATTAATAATAATGATAAAAAGGAAGAAAAAGGAGGAAGAGGAAGAAGAGGAGGAGGAGGGAGAGGAAGAGGAAGAGGAGAGAAGGGAAACAGGAGTCAGAAGCCCACTGTCAGTCAACCAAGCTCCAGTATTAATAGGCTTTCTAATCTTGAGCCTCAGTTTCCTCTTCTATAAAACGTAGGTGTTGGATTCACTTGTGGCTGGAATCCCTTTTGGGTTTCATACTCTGAGCCCCACAGAATGCCGGTGAAGGGCTGAGGCCGGTCAGAGGGGACATGAAGACACCTTCCAGGGAATCACTGTGTCAATCTTGCTTTTGGAAGCATAACCACTGCGTGTGTCCAGCTCCCCAAATGCACTGCACCTCCCATTTCCCTTTCTCCTCTCACCAAGAGAACAAGGTTCTACGCCACAGGCAGAAAGATGCCTTTTCCCACCTGGATTCAGAGCTGCATGAGCCACTGGCTCCCCACTGAACGCCAGAGGGCAGCAGAATCAGCATGTTTTCAGCTCTGGCTGATTTTTCTCCCTCCTCCAAAGGGAGAACATTAGTTGGACCACAGGGCTCAGTTCAGACTTCTTGGTTGAAAAGAACAACTAGTGAGAGAACATGAGAAGGTGGCAAACACTCAAAAGGATTCAAGTTTTGGCCAAGAGAAGGCAAAGGCAGAAGCCGCCCACCAGGCCCCAAGCCCTGTCACAGACACTGTGAGAAACCCCCAGGCAGCGCCATGAGGCTGTGGGGTGCTCACCCATGTCAAGGGCCTCTGGTACCTTCAGGGCCCTGTCACCACCCCGAAGAGGCTTAAAATGCAGCCAGGTTGGAGAAGTGGCAAGGCTCGGTGGCTAATCATACAGACATCAGAGCCAAAATGCCTGGGTCCCAACCTGGACTCTGCTACTTCCAAACTTTGGGACTTTGGGCAAAGTCCTCCATTGGTAAAATGACTAGAAGAAATGCATGCACTTCAGAGTATGTGAGGATTAAATGAGCTAATGCATGAATGGTGCTTAGAACTGTGCTGGCACATAGCAAGTACTTTGTAAATATTTGGTTTTATTCTTATCATTGTAGAAGGCCAAGTGACAAGGGGTGTTAAGCCTGGTACAGTCTCTCTCCAGGCAGCAGCCCAGCCCTACCTTTAAATCTGTTTGCCTGTCCCCTCCCAGATCCCACATGAGGTTAAAGCATCCCCTCCCAGAGGCTGCTCAGCACAGCACAGTCATCTGGAGTAGAAGGAAGATACAGGCCAGTCCTCACAACTAAGAGAAGGTCGCCACCACCAACTTAGAGAGCAGGACAAAGCTTAAGGAAATTAGACCCAAGAGAGGTGAGTTGGAGCTGTTGGGAATGGAGGAAGCAAGGTCCTGACATGGCTCACTTCCTGGGGAAGAGGCCACTCAGCAAGGCCAGAAGCAAGCAGCATGGTGGGCTGTGAGGATGGGGGGGGACACTGGGTCCTAAAAGAGACTACAGCAAACCCCAGACAAAATAGGACCAAGCCTTTACATTCTTATATGACGCCTACAATTAAAAAAAATTTTAGTTTATTTTTGAGACAGAAAAACAGAGCATGAGTGGGGGAAGGACAGAGAGAGAGAGAGAGAGAGGGAGACACAGAGTCTGAAGCAGGTTTATGGCTCGAACCCACAAACCACAAGATCATGACCTGAGATGAAGTTGGATGCTTAACCCACTGAGCCACCCAGGTGCCCCTACAATTTTTTTTTACATTCTCTTGCACTTATTCTTTGCAATATTTCATATATATGTACATACATGAATCACATATATTTATATGTAGGCATGTGTATCAGAGTTCAGAGCCATTACATGCCTATATATCTAAGAATCTGTATTTGTTTCTAGGTAGCTGTAACACCATCCACTTCTTGCGTGATGCTGGAGCTTGAAGTCTGCAGGGCAGGAGACAAGGGAA